ACTCTAGGGTTGCGGTGCTCATCTCTGTTTCAAAGCCGAAGAGCCAGCGCTGTCCGAAGACGTTTCCGTGGTCATGTGGCCGGCATGACTAAACACCAAGGCACACGGAACGCTGTTCCCTTCCCACCGGAGCGGTACCTATTTATCTACTTGCAATTTCTTGCTTTCGAACTGCTAGGTTGGCAGGAGCTGGAACTAGAGACAGGAGCTCACCCCGTCTTGCGGCACTGAAGACAACGGGCTTAAAGAGGAGAACGAAGTTTGAGTCCAGGGGCACCTTTAAGACCAAAAAGGTCTTTTTTGAGGTATTTATTTATTTATGTACCACACTCCCCAGAGATGGGCTCAGGGCGGTTCCCAGAGACGGGCTCAGGGCGGTTTACAATAATCTCAGTCTAGTACCATTCAAACAACAATTACAATAACAATTTAAAACAATAAGACCATAAAACACCATGCAAACAAGATTAGTTAGCCTTCATGTGCATGCACACTTCTTCAGATAACAGTGAAACAAAACTTCTTCAGCCATTACATCAGCGGTCATTTCCTGCAGGAGCGCACAGGAGCAGAGCTCCGGCAGTAAGGAGCCCAGAGGGCGGGCACATGCAACAAGCCCCGCCCCCTGCTCCCAGAGGCCCTCAGTCGGGCCACGGGGAGCAAGAAGCAGCCAGGTAAATTGCAGAACCCCCTTCAGGTACAAGCTCTCCCTCCTCTGTGAGGACAGATCTGCGCATTCCCCCCCCCCAATATCTAGCAATCCAAAACAGTCCAGTGGAGCCTGAGAGGTGGGTGTTGCCTTCTGACACACTTCCGGTGATGTCAGGGGATGTGGCCTATGCAAATAAGCTATGCTAATAAGTTATGCTAATGAGCTCCTGCACCTCTTTTTCTACGAAATGACCCCTGTATTACATATAGGTAGAGAGGGGGAGCAGTGCCAGGAAAGGCTAGTTAGAGTCAAGAGATACATAAGTAACTGGGTGAAGAAGTATGTAATGGTTGAAGAAGTTTTGCTTTGTTGTATCTGATGAAGTGTGCTTTGCACACAAAAGCTCCCACTTTTAATAAAACTCTGTTGGTCTTCAAGGTGCCTGACTGGATCCAAACTTTGGTCTGCTGCTTCAGAGCAACACGGCTGCCCCCACCGGGGCTTAAAGGGTGTAAACTCTGCTGAGGATGTCACCGTGATCTCAGCTGGATCTCTCCAACTCCAGCATGCCACTTTTTTCTATTCCATGTGCATAATTTGTAAAGCATCCCACAGGAAGGGGTGTCAGAACCCACAGCTAACAACGAAGTACACACATTTCAGGAACGGTTATACTTTTATTGCAAAGCTATAGATGCAGTAACATAGGCACTGTTAAGAATGGCAGCGACCCATAGAGCCTAATGGGATATAGGGTATTCGTATACACCCCCCCCCCATGGCATGGGCCAATTAGGTACCTTCCCGCCGACGGGACGAGTTAGGAAACAGGTGGCTAAAGCTGGGAACCAGGAGTCTCTCACGGTACATTGGAGACTTCCAGACAACACAACCTCCTCCTGCACATCTGTAGAGATAAGCGTTTCAGCCAAGGCAGAACAGCAGGGATAGGAATGCAATAGCAAGTAACAAGACACAGAATGAACTCCCCAACCCCCATGGCAGCATAGCTGACGGGGGGTGCATTTTGAACATTATGGCCTAAAACTGATGGGGGGTATTCCAAAAGCCCTTTCCCAAAATACCTTTGCTTTGGATGGCCTGAGCACAGGTACCCATGTGCCTCTGACCATCAGATGTGCTGCCCACATTCTAAGGTTGCCAACTTACCAGGAGGAAAACCAGAGGGCATCTCCCGGGAGGGAGCAACCAGGCCCGAACTCCTGAGACACTGGCCGGTCCAGGGCAGAGCTCAGCTGAAGCCCCCTCCCTCTGAGGACTTCTCAGCGCCCTTCCCCCTCTTCCAAACTCACCCAAGCCGGGATGAAGCAGCCCTTGGGTGCGCACAGCAGGTCTTTCCCTCCCCCCCCCCACTGTCTCCCCATCGGGCTGCCATCCATGCTTGTAGCTGCCACCACCTCCTGCGGCAGTGAATTCCATGTGTTCATCACCACAGGATGTCAGTAAACTGCCATTTGTATTCTGGGTATGCTCTGTGTCACCTGCGTGCTGTATGATTGGGGGGGGGGGGATTAGCCTGCATTTCTCTGTTCTCATCCTCCCTGTGCGCTTTGCCTCTTATTTTGACCTTGGAATGTTTTGCTGCTTTTGTAGTAGATAAGACTGTGAGAACAGTTGATGGGGCCGTTCCCAATCTGGCTGGTGTGAACCAAACGGCTGAAAGGCCATCTCCCGCCTTGGTTCCTGCTTAGCACAAACCGTATTCATTGGCTAACCCTATTTGTTTGAACCGCCTATATCTGTACCTGCTTGGCTTCGAGTTTCATTCCTGACAGTGACCGTGAAAGTGTATCAATAGTGACTTGTATTAAAGCAACCTATTCTTATGAATGGTTGTGGACTGCAACTGCTCTGTTGAACCTGACACAGGAAGCCACTGGAAGAGGTTGTCCAGAGATGCGGAGTGTGCTGCGTCCCTCTCTCACTCCGTTCCCCCTGAGTGACATGAGGCAGTGCGTGTCCTGTAAACAGGCGCCTGGGCAGCATGGGCTGGAGGAAGACCAATAACCTGACGCTCCAGATTGCATGGCCGAGGCACTGCTGGTGGGTGACGGGGCCAGCAGAGGACGGCAGAGGCTGCCTGTTTTGGGCGGGGCTGCAGTCCCACTGGAGCCGTTGGCAGTTGAGGGGAGGGTCCTATGACATCGGCCGTTAACAGCGGAGGGCGTGACCCATCGTGCCACCCGTCACAGGTGGGACTGAGCCCCCGGCGCCCACCCAGGCTGGACTCCGGCGATGCCCTCTGCATGGGACTTCCCTCGAAGCAAATGCCGCTGCTCACCCGAGGCCTGCAGAGATCACCTCCGTCGTACCTGAGCTCCCCTCAAGAGGGACGCTGGCAGCCACCGTCAAAGCCCCGGTTCACTGGGGACGCGACACTTCCAAGGGTCATCTTCTCCCATGTCGGCTTGGCTGGATCCTCAGGACAGACCCCTCAAGGTGGAGATGGAGAGGGGAAGACACTCCGTGAACAACCACATCAAGTGTCTAAAGACCGGGGCCGGGGCCTTCTCTGTGGTGGTGCACCTTGGACGGAAACCCTCTCCCTTTAGAGGTTTGCCTGACAGTCCTGACCCGGATAGCCCAGGCTAGCCCAATCTCATCAGAGCTGAGAAGCTAAGCAGGGTCAGTCCCGGCTACTCTTTGGATGTGGGAGACCATGAAGAAGAAGAGGAGGAGGAGGAGGAGGAGGAGATTAGACTTATACCCCACCCTTCACTACCCAAGGGAGTCTCAGAGCAGCTCACAAACTCCTTTCCCTTCCCCTCCCCACAACAGACACCCTGTGAGGTAGGTGGGGCTGAGAGCTCTGACAGAAACTACTCTTTTTCAAGGACAGCTCTTGTCAGAACTATGACTTGCCCAAGGTCATCCAGCCAGGTGCAAGTGGAGGAGTGGGGAATCAAACCCGGTTCTCCCAGATTAGAGTCCGCGCACTTAACAGACTACACCAAACTGGCTCTCCAGAAAACCCAGGGTTGCTACGCAGAG